CTGTGGCCTGTATTTCCTTCTGACTCAAGTGTCCATGAGAAGGAAGGAAATATATTTTCAGCAAGACAAATTAACTGACTTTGTGACCATATGTCCTATTCATAAGGTACCTTCACCACTAGAAGCTTAGATACKTTCAGACTCTTACCTTCCTTTCAAGCTAACCCCTCCTGCATAACAGACACCACATCTCTGCCCCTCTGTATCCTCCACCCCACCGTGGCATGCCAGTGGACTGTACATCCACACCGAGTTCTGAAGCCAAACCAGATTACARCAGCAGCTGTAGGGAAAAAGCATCTTCACGCAGAGGCCTTACGCGATGAAATGCTGATGATACCCACACAGTAGCTGGATACAGCCAAGGATTTTTAGCACTTTTCTTACACTGCTCTGCTRTTTCTAGTTCTGTTGTAGCTTTCCTGAGATTAGAAGGGGGAAGAAGAGGCAGAATTGCCTGTGCTCTTCCAAATGGGCCTGCACTAGGAATTCACATAACTGCATTGCAAAGCTTTCTGTTTGATCAGCTGGTACTTTCCTGTACCACCCGTTATTCTCTTTGTCTCCCGACTGCTGCTGCGTTTAGAAGCTGGTATTTCCACAGAATCATCTTTTATGAGCTGGAATCACTTCCAGAWTGGCAATAGTTATTAAAGCTATGATAGTGTATAAAATTGGACTTATTTTTACTAATTGTACCTATTTTTGTATTGATTAACGTTATATTTATTTTCGTATTTTATTGGCCAGTCATTCAATTTCATGATGCCCTTCTGCAACTCTTTGCAGCTTTTGTTTTTACTGTCAAGCCTGAGTAGCTTAGCYTTGTCAGTGAATTCTGTCCCTGAGTTCCTAAACTTATTTCCAGAACATTTTTCAATATATTGGCCAGCACAGGACTAGTTTTTAACTTAATTTATAATATTTTAATTACTCTTTCATAATTATGCCTTCTTTTTCATTCCAAACAATTGGACACTTGGCATGAGATGTTGCTAAAAGCCCTTTTAAGCAAACTTTATTAGCCAGATCATCCTGACRTGCAGGATGCATGCTCAGAGATTCTTCCAAAGACCTGTAATACATTTCAGGGTTGTGTATCCAATACATCTACTCTTTCATTATGGCTTATGCCAAACGGCAAGGTACAGCCATCAATTCTTTTGAACCTTTATAGAAATCTCACACACAGTTGTGTGAGTGTGGGGGGGTGGGGGGGTTTGTGTTGTGTGTGGGGTTTTTTTGTGTGTGTTTCTTTGAAATATATTTGCCTTTTTTTCTCTCCTCTTACACTGATGCAGTTCTAAGCACAAGTTAGTATTTCAGAAATCTCCTGAAAATACTTAATGACCTTAATGAACAGAGCATCTGCTAGTAACTTATCAGATTGTTTCATTAAGCCATTTACTGACACTTAAATGGAGCCAGCTCTTCTGATTAAGACCCTGTCAAAAATGTTAACAGCATGTAAAGTTAACTAAGCAAACTTCAACAGCAGAGATAAAAAACTCAGTATCCATTCTGGTCTATTCTTCCACTTTACACCTTGATCACATAGTCACCCAAATTCTTAGACAACTGTCAGAGACAGTACTGTACTGAGAGCTAGTAGCAGGACTAAATTCAGCCTGATCAAATCACASGGAGATAGTGCAGCACACAGATAGTTTTAGTGCTGGCAGTTCTAATATCTAGACTTCATGCCGCACAGTAAACATTCTTCTGGATTTGTTTGYTTTTATTAAAAAGTGCTATGAAAACATTTTGAAATTAAAGTCTTATCAGTTTTCCATTGCAAGTCAAGTTTTCCAATCTGTATGGTTTAGACAAGGAGTACAGGAAGAGATGACTCAGTCATCATCTGTAAATGACTCCATAGGTGACAAGAAAAAGGAAATATTGCCATATTAAATCTTTAACCTACCAGAAAACAGGATGCTGAAGATAATYCAGACTAAATATAAAGCCTCCCCTTCATAATTATGTTTATTCACTGCTAGGAAGAAGTTAAATATGTAGACTAATTATTCAAGAGATTTCTCAAGTCTTAATTTGTTTGTAAGAGACCCTGCCATAGGTGAGACTGAATTACCAGGCTTATTCCTGTTGTACCCAGGCAGTATTTTTCACCTCTGTTTTGCAGATCCAGTTACACAATTACATGTGGTGTTCTCAGACTTAAAACATGTGATACTATAATAAAGTATGTCTATTCAACATCTCATTTGTATCAGTGTTACTTTGGTTTTAATRCAGTAACAAATCAGCCTGTGTACATAAATTAATATGCTCCTGTTTTAAAATTTCAAATAAGCAACATGACTTTGATGATTTATGAACACTGAAAGACTCAAATATTTGGAATCATTTGCCTCAAGAAAAAAATCTGTGTTATAACCTTTTTAGGCAACTGCTGGAATACAATTTTTGCAGATGCAGTCTCCCAAAGGAGTAGAATAAAATAGTAATACAAAACAAGAACAAGATTTTTTTAAACCAAGGCTGAAAATGGAGGAGTAGAATAAAATCAGTGAATGAGATTAAGTAAGATTAGCTYTAATCTCACTCAGGGTCACCTCTGTAGGGAAATATAGTGGCATCACTATCTTGGTATAATTATGCTGCTACAGTTATACTATTATAAATGATGATGTTTCCAAAGCAACATAGCAGTAGTAATTCCATTGAAACCAGGGATATAAGGAAGAGGAGAATCAATTCACCATATCAGTTGTCTCTGGACACTGAATTACTGATTTTTTTCCTAGGAAAAACCATGGAAATAAAAGATAGACATAAATCCAGTAATAATAAGCCAAAATTACTATGATTCTATGATCAGCTTATGCTTAGAGCAGTCTATTTTGAAACGAGAAAGGAAGTCTGGAGCAATTAATTATCTTTGTTGACTTGCTGAAAACGTTCAGAAAGCACCGGCTGTTGTGTCTGTCTTCACACTGAGTCCACCAAGCATCAGCAGGGGTTTGGTGCCCTCTTACGTTGGATASAGGCAACTTGAGTGATTGCAAACACACTTGTGGGTGACAGATCGCTTGAGAAGGCGCCTCAGGATACAAAGTGTTAAGAAAGTAAGTGCCAGCTAAGATAATTGACTACTTAATGCTTCAGAAATGTTAAAAACCACTGTAAGGCAGTAAACTTACAGAGGCAGTGAATGTACACTAACAGACCCAGAAACACTTTTGTACCCTCCYCTTCAATTTTTGAGATCACTACACTGATCTTGCATAGTACAAACCTGACTCAGGCTTTTTTTTTGTTTTGGCCAAACATTGTTAATAAATTCCGACTATGAAAACACAAACACACAGCAACAAAAAGGCTGTTGAACATCATGAAAAAATCACGATTAATGAGGCACTGGCACAGGTTCCTCAATGAAATTGTGGATGCCTCATCCCTGGGAGTGCTCACGGCCACGTTGGGTGATCTGAGTAACCTGATCTAMTGGAAGGTTCCTTGCCTACAGCACGGGACTTAGAACCAGATGATCTTTAAGGTCTTTTCCACCATTCTATGATTCTATGAAGAGAGAAGACTGTGTGATCCGGTYTTACCTCCTGGAAACACCATCCAGTTAACAATCTAAGTATCAATAAAGGATCAATTAAAAAAAAAAAAGTTCAAAAGCAGAATTTGAGACATCAAAAATAGAGAGTATTTCTATTTCCATTACTCAAATACTCCAGTGATTACTGGTCACACTTAAAAGCTGGCACTTATTACCTTAACTTAGTTTTCTGGGCAGTTCTAGTAATCATTTTAGGTTTCTCTGTTGTCTAGTTAAAACTGCAGTATGCTACTTTTCTTTTGTGCAAGTATTTCTAATCCACAGAGAACCCTTCTCAATAGTCTAAATTTCAGACAGACTGCTCAGTAAATAATTTCTGAAAATAAAACCTGATTTAGTATGTGTTTTGTCAGTTTCTTTTTAACTTCCCTATTAGCATCATAAAGGTATACAGTTTAAATATTTTTTTTTTTTAATTTGCCACTTTATGTTACTCATCCCATTTTACTAATTGCTCAGAGGGAAAAAATGAGAGATATTTACGTGTCGGTTTTGATACATAAATTAGAATGCAAAAGAGATTGGCCACASAACCAGTGATGTAAAAAGATAACATGGAATTTTAGATTATATTTAAATGTTGGTATCAGAAATTATTAAWTACCTTATTTAAGTGTCAAGAGCCCTGTATTTGCAATGGAATGTATTTATATTAGTACAGAAATAAAGCACCCAAGACTTATGGGAAACTCTCAATTTATTTTTTCAAATTCTCCTACAATGCATTTTTTCAGAAATTGGTTTCAYGATGGTACATACAAAACATTCAGAGAATTAGCAAGTTAGTGCATAAAATAATTTTCTCAGTCTGGTCAKAGGCACAGAGATAAAACAGAGTCTAAGCATTTCATATTTGTTAATAATAAACATCCCTTGTCCCTTGTTATCACAGGAGATACCCAAATGCTTAGTGGCAAGGCACATTTTGGCACCTTGGCCTAGTTCAGTGAAGCCAGACAAAACTGGATGAATGCTTCCCATTCCTTGRGGCTGCAAAAACTCATGAAAAAGAGAGTTGAGAGCAGATCCATGCAAYAGACAGAAACTTGTACAAATTATTTGTCAACATCCAAAAGTGCAGTATATTGCTTTACTGAACACAGAAACATGTTCCCAGAGAGCTTTGAGTTCTTTCAAAAGGATGTGACCAAGGATAAATAAATAAGGAGAGGATATGGTGAAAAAATGATGGATATGCCTGGACCCCCTACACTACCAAGATAAGCTCAAATATCACATTACAGTAAAATTTTATTAAATAAATCCACCTTGTGTTGACAAGAAATAACTAAATTGCACACAGAGCAGAGATCCCTGAGCTAGTMAAAAACTAGTTGGAAATGCCACACAACACACTGTGCGGACAAATCCACATAGATCTAGAGGAACTACTGCTACTTTTTTAGCAAGTAAATATTGCTTAYTATCTCCCATTCAAGACCACAAGAGTGATGGACCATATTTGCTAGTGCATAACCTTGAAGTTCTGCTTCTAAGGCTTGAATGAGGGCAGCCCTAGGTGGGATCTGGTTTTATTACTGTGGATGTAGCCAACAATAAACTACTCACATTTAGTGCATTAATCTCAAATAGTACTGAAATCAATCAGGCTCCACAGCTGAGTTACTTTCTAGAGAAAGTATGAATCTGACTTTTCCGAACAATTTTCCATCTGCTGACTCACAAATTTGTGATCACAGGCTGAAACCTACCAAATTAAGTTGCATTTGCTTTTGATAGTGTTCACTGAAATGGGTATTTCCCATCAGTACAATTCTATTTCCTATATTCCCTTTCCAAAAAAGTAGAAAACAGTTTGCCTCTCTTAGCTGGTAATTAGCATTAAAATAATCCACACGGCAGAGTAAGTGTGTGGAAACAGCAAAAATCCTCTCAGATGTTTTGACGAGCTAGTAAACATGGAATGTAGATCCACAGTTTTACCATGGTAACCAGTTATCCACTGTCTCATTTCTGCCATGCCATCTCTCCCATTACATGTTCCTGTAACCAGTTCCCTCTGTGCTATAAAGAGAACTTAAAATCTTGTAGCAACATGTAAAGAAAGCAGAACCACTTTGGTCTGGGAATGGAGAGGCAGGATTTTTTAGGACAGAGCTTAGAGACATSTGCTACAATATAGTGTAAGAATATAAAGTGTAAGAAACTTGACTGTAAACATTAATGGAGTTGATGAAGTCTGAGCTCTGGAAATAAATTAAAACAGATGCTTTGCTGTTAACTGACCGAGCTTCAATGAAATCTGTCTCCCAGTCCCTACTGCTGATTAAGACTTCCCTAGCAAATTGCAATTTTTTTTGAGGAACTTACATGACTTGAATTTCAATATGTTCCATTATGAAATCTTATGGAACAGAAAACTCACGCTGATATAAATCAAATAAGGTTAAGAATTGGTACTTGGCTGCTGTGGACATAGTTTTAATTTAGTCTGAAGTGTCTAATATCAATTTAGCTCAAGCTTATTACAGACTTTCTCACCTTAGCTAGAGCTGAAAACAGATTTCCATACTTATGTCATTAACCACCTAAGGCAGAGGCCACTATCAGTACTGACATTGATATCCAGCAGCAACTAATTTAACATTGTGACACATCCTTACATTCTGTGTTGAACACTATCAACACAACCATCCAAAAAGCAAAGTGAAGAAACATTGAAATGAAGTGCTCTTCTCCCAGGAAKTAATTTAGAGAACTTCTTTCAGACAGTTCTGACCATTTAACACCACACTGAGGCTAAGGAGAGGAGCCCCAAGTTGACCTCATACAGTTAAAATCAACAGTTGTGTTTGTAAAGTTTTATATAATAAAATTAAAATGCTTATCATTTTACAATTTTAACAAAAGTAAAAATCACCATAGCATTACTGAAATAATTAACAGCTCAAGACCAAGTATTTCTCCAGAACAGCTAGGACAGAGTCTTAGCTCTAGAGTTCTGGGATCACTTGTGCGGTTCTGTGCTTGTCTAAGGAAACACAAGCTACAAAGAACTCAAAGAAATGTGGTCACAGGTCTTATATGTCACACAACTTGTGCCAGAGCAGTTGTGCGAAATCATCAGTTTAAGGGTACATATTTTTGTACTTGCTGGGCTCCAATCTCTGCAACATAGACTGCTCCACTCTTCATGTCTACGTCCACAAGGTGTGGTTTGGTTTCATCAGCCAGCTGGACACTGTGGGTCACAACACAGTTCCCAATGGTGCCGACTGGAGGTGCTGCTAAGATTGTCAGCCGGTTGATATTCATCTGAGCTACAATCAGGTATTTGTAATCGGCAGTAAACCTGTGAAAGCCAAACATATTTTTGAAATATGAACTCCATATGACATCGCATTTTAACACAAACAAAATCTCTAATAGTCATAGTTTTGATGGCTATGACAGAGAAAATGCAATGTAACACTGGGAATTAACTTGTAAGCTTTGCTTTTCATACAGCTGTACTTGAGACACATTWTGCTACAGAGAACTCATTCAAGAAAATCTTTCTTCCTGTAAAAGGTGCAACGGTAAGGTTAGTAACATAATAACATTGAAGTGAAGCTCCCAATCCTGCACTCAAATCCACAGGGCTTGTCATAAAGCCAGGATTTCCTTGTCAAGATGCAACTGTGCAGATCTTTGCATATCTCAATACACCCAGCACCTTATTAAAGTAGTKAATTCCTTGTCATAAGGCATTAAATATCAACATTTTACTTCACCAGTAAGAGTACACCTTATTTATGTAATTGCATGCTTCTAGAACTGTTCAACAATACCTGACAGAATAGGGTCCATCTTCTGAAAAACAGCCACTCCAAGACCCAAGCCATTCTCCTGTAACTTTATCAAAAACCTGAATTCTCTTGTTGCCTCTGTCTGCAACCCATACCTATTAGAAAGAAAAATCATGGCTATCAATCAATGGAACAAATTAAATGCATTTATTTCTTACAAGAGCAAAGTTCYCTGTAGTAAAAATGGAAGAAAGCACCCTGGAAGAATACTCACCTCCTCATTCAAAACTAAATCAGTAGMTCTACTTGCAGATATAAACTAAAAATGACCTGCAGTTAGCATACACAAATTATTTTTATACTACTTTAATGGGCAAATCAGTGCCTTCTCTTAATTTTTGTGGCTGTGATATTAACAYATTTGATAGGATTTTTTCCCCACAATGAAGGTGTATTCCCACCTATTAAATTCTGAAGATCTGTCTAAAGGTCTGTCACCTGCAGTTTCTTTCCAATGGTAGTCTCATTTCCTGATCGTGATCTGCCCACACTCCTGATATGCCTAATGCTACTACAAATATTGATCAATTTAAACACTTAGAGCATGTTTATCTTGTTTTGTCTAACCAGTTTTCTCTCTGTCCCACCCTGTGCTAACTGTGTTCACAGACACTGCAAGCTAGCAATACCACTAGAAAGCTCCACTGAAAACATTTTTTGTACAACCATCATTGAAGTTTTAGCTRTTGAAAACTTATCAGTCTGGTAAGTAAAATTCATTACTTTTCTGGGGTGTCACCAAAAAGGGAGCAATAAACATGACCTKAGATTTTTCATCACTAAATTTAAATGAAACACTACCACAGTAATCTCTTACATTTCTTATGAATTAACCATTATTTTTCAACTTAAATTGATGATCAACATTATGCTGGCAATAGTYATAGCTGATCCCAGTTGCTGTCTTTGAATAAATAAACTCATGGTTACCCTGCAGCATAAAGTGACCGTGCTCCTCCTGGTTTTTCTGTCACTCAGCCAGTTTTAGCAGAGAATTGATTTTTATATACACTTCTGATTCAGACAGCATCAGCAGAATKAGCTTCAACCAGTGCTATTTTAGTGAAGCAATCTTATTTTCCCTGAAACAGATTAAGAATTGACTGCATAGCTCCTCTCTAGSAGTGGCAGACCAAAAGCCAGACTACAATTAATACCTGGCAGAAGCAGACTCTTGGAATGCCTTGAGCTGCATGTAAAAGAGAGTAATGTCCACAACGTAGCTAGAGCCTTACTATCACCTAAAGCTTATGTGGAATTTCCAAATATRGAATTAAAGCCCCCTGAAGAAGCAAAAGGGCTTTTATTTATTACAGAACACAATTCTCCTATACTCGCACAATGGCAACCTGTTACAAACTGCAGAAGGAGCAGACTGTTGATGCAGGACACTGGACATTGACAGTATAAGCAGCCAGGATCCCTGTGTTAACCTTGGAGCCAGCTGCTTCCATAGAACCAGCAGTATGAAACTTCAGCTCAAGACTATCACACTGCAAGATGTCACCCCATAAAGCAACACAGATCACAACAGTTTAAATAAAAAAGAAATACATTTTGTTTTGTTCAAATACATATAAACAAGTCTGTTGAAAGGTAGGAAAAAAAATTTCCTTTATTCTTTACCCGTCCAAAAGCATCCACTGTCACACTGTGAGGAATCCTGAACTGGCCAATGCCACTCCCGTTTGTTCCAGTCAGCCATATCTCTTTGTGGTCTAAACAGTAAGCACCAGGAAAAATAAAGTAAAAAATCACGGTGGGAAAACAATAAATAAATTAGCTTTTAAGTAATTCTCTTGCAAAGTTACTTTGGGTAATTTATAAAAGGTGAAATTTATAAACTTTTCAAACACAGTATTCCTGATACATGAATGTCAGAAATAACATGACTACTACAGTGACTACTGGATTGTTATTAGTGGTTTCAGGATTGTGATTACAGAAACGCAACCACTAGTACATAAGACCCATAGTCCAAAGTTCTGTTAAGCACTGAATTTTAAAATAAAAAGGAAAAAAAAAAGTTGACTGATTACGCTATTCATTTGTTTTCTAAATTGACTTYTGACACTTGTTACCTGGAAGTTTGGAGTATTAACAATTTACCATTTTGCAAACTAGGTATTAAGAAACTATCTGCTTTATGATAGCACCATGGAGAAACAGTAGCTCCTCCACGTACACCAACTGTGGGCATGTGCAGTCTTCTCAGTGACTGCCCTAACTGAAGAGTACAAGGCAGCTAATCAGAATCACAGAACAACTGAAGCATAGAAGTCCTCCAAACACCATCTGTCCAACCTGCTCCTCAAAGCAGGACTAGCCTCGATAACCAATCCAGCTCTGAAGTTAGATCAGGTTGCCTATAATTTAGCAGCTTTTGAGCATATACAGGAATTGAGAGTGCCATACCATCTTTGGGCCACCCTGTGATTCACTGTCTGACAACCCTTACTTTGAATGTTTCCTAACAAAAATCAAACTGGAATTCGCTCCTCTTGCATCTTGTGCTCAGTGTTCCTCATTCTTCCCTGCACATATCTAAGACACACACAACCCTGTTTTCTCTATAGCCTTCCTTTACTGATTTGAAGACAGCAATTAGAATTCCCCTTAGCCTTCTTCCTTGAAAATTGAACCAAGTTACTCTCTCAGCATCTTCTCATTAATTAGGACATTTCTCCTGAAGCAACAAGCAATAAATCAGGATCTGATTCCATAAGGTCTTCAAATCAAATGATAGTTCTGTCTAGTACTTTCTTAAAAGTATTCCCAAGCTATGTTATTTAAAATCCAGCTTTCAGTGGTCAACAACTGCAACAGTTCCATTTTTCCATACCATCAGATAGTTTGAGCAATCTGTTGTTCATTCCTCCATCTCCATCAACAACATAGATCTCTCCAGTTTCCTCCACAAAGATCTCTGCTGGTTGGTCAAATTGCAGGGGAATCAAACTTGAACCAGCATTACCTGGTGTGCCCAAAACCTGCATAAGTTTACCCAAAGGGCTATACTGTTTCACTGTGTGTCCATGTTTCCCTGAATTAAGGGGAAAAAAAGTGCAAAGATATCTTAACAAAATAAAAGGTAAGYAGTAAAATCAACTGCAGAGATTAAAAAAGAATATCTGACACTCAGAAGTGATATTAATGCATCTAACAGACAAAATTCTACATTGTGATTATGACAGTGGGTTAGTAAATCCAAAGCCTGTAACAATATTCATCCATTGTATCAGGATCACTAAACCTAGGTCTAGCCAGGGGTTTTTCCCTGATACTTCTGGATGGCAGGAAGGAGTGCTGACTGAGCTCAGCAGCTGTAAGCAGACACAGCACAACTTGTGAAACTTCAGACTCTTTTGTGCAGCACCCAAGAAGTTTGTATTTGCTTTTCATGGCAAGAAAAGCACAAATCTGTCTCAGAATTGTTTGAGAGACTTAAATAAGTGAGTTGTTCAAAGCAAAATCTGCAGTATTAACATTTTCTTCCCCAACAAATCTTTCTCATACCACCACCATACTATGCCTACCTGTTCCAACATCTGTGATCCATACTGAACTACTTGTTGCAGTGTTCCATACAAACATACCGTGAGGCATTTCAACTGTATCATTCCAGGAGTGAATAAAATAGCCTTCTTTTGAGAATACAAGTACCTTTGGCACATTGTCTCCCCGCTGAAAAAGAAAAAAAAGTCTTAAAGAAAACATATTAAGTAATCGTATTTTTTAAAATTCCTCTTTGAGAAGTTTTTGCAATGTTTCATGAATGGTAAGAATCTCCTGACATAATTGTGTGCTAGAACTCTTTTTCTAGCTAGAAAAAGAGGTAAGGGTCTAAATTTAGTATGAAAAAGCTTCCAGTCAGTCTAAACTTTCACCTTACTTCACAAAGAATCTGGCTTTCAAGGCAGCCAAGTGCCTGCAGCTATCTTGGTCTTCATTTTGAGCTGTGATTTTATGTTCCTGCTGAAAAGCATGGCTAATGTAAAGGCATGAAAAACGTCAGCTGTGCTTATTAGTATGGCACTCAAGTACTCATACTGTGCTTTACAAGAAAGTCCCACCACCTTCCATGGAGAGAATGTCTTATCCATGGCCTAGAGATACGGATACATGGAGCTGCRCAGAGGAAATAATTTAACACCAATTACTTTAACGGGTTGAAAAAGCTGTCTGATTTTAAAGGCCTCAAAGAATGGAAGATTCAGTTGCCCCAAAATCACRTTTTATCTTACAGCTAAGAGAAGAAGCTGCTGTAACTCACTTAAGTTGGATCATGTGTTCATACCACAGAAACTTAATGCTTTAAAAAAAAAACCCACAAACAAATGTTGTGCCAGAATTGCTTTTAAAAATAGATATAGCTGAGACATCTCTGAGTTTGACACAATAATTATTCACACATATATAAAAATACATGTAAATATACAAATATATAAATATAAATATAAAAATATATGTAAATATATATAAATATACAAAAATAAATGTACATATACATATCCTAATCTTAACCAGATGCTTTAAAGTAAAAAATACATAAGAACAACACAGAGAGAAATATCGTATTCCCACTCACTTGTCCTACATAGACCAAACCATGGAGAGAGTCAACAGCAACACAAAATGTTTGGCCAGTGAAGTGTTCTGGAGTTTTAGGCCAGCCTATGTCCAGCTTGTACATCTGTTTCTCTCCCCTCAAAGGAGAGGAATGATCTGCTTTTAAAACCTGGAAGCACAAAATAAATATATAGTAGTCAAATTCCATGAGGGTAAGATCAAAAGAAACAGCAGTTGAAAGTAACTGTGTGCTGAAGCATCATAAGTTAATTTATTAAATTAAAATTAACAAGACAGATAAACAGAAGCAGGCTCGCAGCTAGGGGTTTGGACTGCAAGTGGGAAAACTACAGCAATCTGAAAACTAGCTAATCAAGTACTGCGGACTGGGGAGCTCTGAAATAGAAGGCAAAACCCACACGCTGAAATTTCTTACACCAGAGTTGTTGTTATTGTCTGTCAATCAYTCTCCAAAATGATGAAAATAGTAGAGAAGGTTCAAAGTGCACCAGAGTCAGTAGCCACTTCAAGATGTGAAAATAAGAAAAAGAAAATAACTACAGGTCAAGAACGAAAACTACACCTTGGAAATGAAGAAGTGTAAAATGCCAGGAACAGTCAGACTCGGATAAATGTATATATTTTAAACGATAATGGAAAAAAGCAAACTTCCACCTTCTTGTTCWATTTTTCCAGCTCAAGAGGGGAAGCTAAGCACTGCTGCAAGATAAGCACCGAAATGGAGAGTTTAGTCTAGGGCTGAGAAGCAACGCGGGTGACCCCTAAGGCCCACGGCCATCTGCTCTTTGCCCTGTCGGGAGCAGGGATACATCGACGACACCAAGCTTTGGACAGGCTGGGCTACCACGAAGGAAAACTGACAGCAGTCGAGCAAGGAGATACTTGACAGTATCAAGTGGGATGTTATTCACCCAGATTCCCTTCTCGGTTGGGCGCAGCACATCGCCGGGAGGCCCCTGGACGTGGCGCCCCGCGCAGGCATTATCTCGGCGGGGCTGCGAAGCCGCTCGGCGCCGCGGCCTCCGCCTRGAAGCCCGTCAGCCACAAGCGGCCCGGGAGGCACCGAGAGCCAACGGGTCCCGGGACGCTGCCCGCACTCCCCGCCCCGCTGGCCCCAGCCCGGCCCGGCCCTCCCCGCTGTCCGTCCTAACCGGAGGCCCTGGCGCGAAGCCCYGGCGCGCACCTGGGAGCCGCAGAGCAGGGCCAGCAGGGCCAGCAGCGTCCCGGCCATGGCACCCCCGGCCCCGCGGCCGCTCCCGCCTCCCGGGGCGGTTGCCATGGCAGCCACGTGGCCACCACCCTTCCCACGTCGCCCCGGTGGCCGCAGCTCCCCGCGCCGTGCCGGGTCCGGGAGCAGCGGCGGCGGTGCGGGGGCGGTGCGGGGGCAGCGCGGGACGGGCGCGATGGTGCCCCAGGGGAGCGCTCAGCGCTTCGGCGCGGTGCCAGGAGCCGGGCGAGGGGCGAGTCCGCCCCGAGTTCGCACCGCTCCTGCGCAGGCATCGCTCTCGTCACCCAGCGTGGAACAGGGCCTTCGCTCGGCGCTGTGATGCCATAGGGGCGCGACGGCGGGGAGGCGAGACCGGCGGAGGGGGTGTGCTGTCGGGGGTTCGTGCGGCTCCCGGGCCGCCTTTCTCACCTGCCCCGCCTGCCCCCGGGGCCGCCCGAGTCCGCCCCGCCTCTGCCCGCCGGGATCGCAGGCGGCGGCGCCGCGAACGATGCGCTGCGAGGGCGCCCCGGGCCGGTCGGGCCTCGGTGCCGCGTGCTGAGCAGGGCGGCCGCCACTGCCGCTCTTGCCGCCGCTGCCGCCATCCCATCCCATTCCCCGCCCGGCCTCCCCCGCCGCAGCGGGATCGGGACGCGAGGTAGCGGGCGCGCCGGGCGGGTCCCGGCGGCCGCCTTTGTCTCTGTGTCCGGCGCTGCACGGGCGGCAGCGCTCCATCCCCGGCGCCTAGGACAGCCCGGGCCACTTTCCGTGCCTGGCATTTTTTTTTTTTTTTTAAATATTTTAGTCCTTTTCTCCTGTGTGCTCAAAGACTCTTAGGATTTTTTTTTTTTTATTATTATTATTACCGGTAGTATTTAATTCACGTTTGAGTGTCGGCATTGAATGAAACAATCAAGATGGATAAGAAATCGTTTGAGACCGTGCTGGATGAAATTAGGAAGGTAACTTCTCGTTTTGCGTGTTAGTTTAATCATTTGGTGACCATAGGACAAGAGTAATGGCTATAAATTGAAAGGGGCGGGTATTTCGATTAAATATTAAGAAGAAATTCCTTACTGTGAAGATGCTGAGGCATTGGAGCAGGTTACCCAGGGAGGCTCTGGATGCCCCAGTCCTGGTAGTGCTCAAGGCCAGGGTGGATAAGGCCTTGAGSAAACTGGTCTAGTGGGAAGGGGGTTGGGACTGGATGATCCTGAGCCCTGATTTGAAATAAGCACTTGGATAAGGTTACTGCAGCATTTTCSATCTCAAGGAAGATGAGGAAGACAAACCAAATTAGCCAAGCATCTCTTATTTGGGGGGAGGGGCTGCATTTTCTTGGTCTGACCAGAGACAGTGTGAAGTACCCACCTTTTATGTGCTGATTTAGGAGGGACAATGCACAAATAAGATGTAAGAAGGCTTATTCCTGGACTGCGCTTTGCTGTCCTTGTTGGACGTCACGTCTCCCACAGCTCAGGAGTGTGTGCGGACCTTGTTCCACTGGGATGTAAATCCTGCGTTTCRAAGTGTGCTCTGAGCTGTGGTGCTCTGCATCCCCTTAAAAACTCACCGAGCAAAATACTGCTGGTTGTGGGGAGCAGAGATACAAACCTGTGCTTCCTCACATCTGGCAGGGTTCTGGTTTCTCTCTGCACAGAGGCCTGGTTTTAACAGGAAAGCTAACACTAACTTGAGGTTAGTAGTTGGCACGCTTCCCCAAATGATGGAAGTGGAAGAGGAGAGAGAAGAAAATCAGAACCTCTGAGAGCAATATTTATGTTCTGCATGGGAAGCAGAAACCTGTAACGATGTATGTTGTAGTTAAGTAGAGGTTATTTAGGTGTCACAGGAGAACAGTTATGTACCCTGCTGAAGCTGTCTTGGTGTGACTGTGAAGGGCTTGTTTTAGATGAGATGTCTTCGTGGCAGAACAGCTATCCATAGTGTTTTTGTAATAAGTGGAGGTTTTTTGCTGGACTATCTAGGGGATGTATATTTCCTTTATCAGGACTTGTATTAGAGTTGGGTTTTAGTTCAGTTTCTCTTTGGCATGAGGCAGTGATGGCTGCAATTGCAGTATTACTATTTTGCACCGCAGTGAGGTATAAAACTGTTCAACAGAAGCCCCAGAGATGAGTCTTTGTTATCCCAACTGCACTTTTGCATAAGGTCATGGTCATAAAGTCTCCTTTATCAAACAGCAAAAAACATATCAGTTTAAGATACTTCAGGGTGTGGACTCCCCTCCCAATTTACAAATTTGTATGGAAAATCTGGGAACAAAAAAACAAATCAAGGAATGACYTACACATGAATGCTTTCTCTGATAACTGATGGTGGGAGGCAGTAATGTTTCAGTTATATTATTGCAGTGCAGTCCTTCAGAATATGCTGTGTGATTACTAAAGACTTCAGACAAAAGGGTTTAGACATGTGATTTTAGGCAATTGTGTTTCTGTCTGTATTCCTGTATTCCAGCTTGCTGTTGATCTAAGGATCAGTGCTGTGCTGTGTTAATAATAGCTGTACTGTTGTGGTGTAACATTCATTGTCCAAATGCTGATTTTTGTGCCTTTGTTGCTATGTTTTTGTTCAAGCTTCATTTCTAGCTCTGTGGTAGAACCTTCTTTATTATGTGATGTACCAGTTTGTTGTGTTGGTATGTTCCATTTTCAGTCTACAGTTAGCAGGAACAGTTATTTAAATATCTTCATGTGTAACTTAGTTCTATTTTCCCCATAYGTATTTACAGTTACTAGCAAGATAAACTTTGGAGGTTTTGTTTGTTTGTTCCATAAATTATGCTTAGCAGTGTCTTCTATTTGTACTTTTGTTATAAAGTCATTCAGCTGTTGATTTGAGAAGGAAAAGTAACGTTTATTTTGGTAAAAAATGTATGGCATACCCTGTTTTTTTCCAAAATATCTGAAGAGGAGGAAGGGACAGAAGAAAAAATCGAGCGTGGAGAAATTCTTTCTCCCCTGTGACTTTAGTGGGTCTGGTAGTGTTTGTCTCCTAATGAGGCACAGAAAGGAAGAGGATTGCCTCAAGCAGTATCTGAGTGGGTTTCTGTGCACCTGTGCTACTCAGGCTGCAGTGATGGAGACCTTCGTGTCTGTCTGTGTGGAAGGACAGTAACAAAAAAGCAAGGGGTAGATTTTAGTGCTTTTGGGAGGAAGACAGAAGTGRGTGTGTGAGTAAAGCTAAAGGTGGTTTGAGAATACAGAAGATCGAGCATTATATGGGGCACTTGGAAACTGTGGAAGGAAGAAAGGTGTTTTCACCAGCTTGGGGCAAGAATTCAGCTGTTAGCTGTCTTCTTTACATCTTGTACCTGTCACAGAGAGCTGAGTATAGGAGAGGGAGGAAGTCCTGGCTGTTAGACARCTGACATGGTTATCAACAAAATACCACAAAGTCAAAAGGCCAGTGGTGSATTAAAGTACTGTGCTTTGTTTGTTTTGTATGATTGCATGCTAGAGTTTTATATGTGTGTGGATAATGATAAGACAGTATCCATCTCTGCAGCAAGCTTTGTTGTATATTTAACTCTGTCTGTATAGACTCGTTATCCAATTTCTTCATAAATTTACYGAAGTGGGATACTTTGGTACTTAATTTACAGGGGACATACAAAGAGACTGTCTGAAAAATCGACTCTGTTTTTTTTTAATATAAGGTTGTTGTAAATCATTGGAGCAAAAAGAAGAATGATGATGTTCTCTCAGTACAGCTGTAAGCAATAACAAAAAAAGAAATGAAGTAAATTAAAAGAAATGAGTATTTTTTAAAAAGAATTAAATAATGTCTTCCTGCTTTTCACTGTTCTCAGTTACCTAAGGAATATACTGCTACTTCAAAGTGCTGCAGTGTAATTGATGGAAATGTCACTTTGTTACTTTGTAGGGGCAGATTTTAGATTAATGAATTAGCAGATGGTTATACTCTAATTATAATTTTTCAGTCGCTAATTATGCATCTTTTTTTCTATGTCTTTTAGGCTGTTTTGACTGAGTACAAATTAAAAGCTATTGAATATGTTCATGGATACTTTTCAAGTGAACAGGTAAAGTCTACACTGTCATGGGTTTAATGGGAGCAGTTGTTTTTGTGTATTCAGTAATACAGACATATTGTCTCTAGTCCTACTGAAGCTGATCATATTAGCTTGTCTTGTTTATTAATTGAGAAGATTTTATTATTATATCAGCATTAAACTATTAAAAACAGTTTCAAGTTGCTTTGTCATCAAAATCACTACATTTTCTTTCTTAATGTGTGGGGAAAATGGTATAGATGTATGATAATGGAATTTAGGATTTTGGACGTTTTTTCTAAATAGATGTAGTAATAATGTATAATATGATAATATGTAGCTTTTCTGYTTCTTTTCCTGCTCGTTTTTTTTGGTGTATGTTTGGGAATATGCGGTTTGAGATACTGATTGTTGATAAGCTTTTTCAGAGATACTAGATTTTTTTTTTGTACTTATTCTAATTCAGTGGCATTCTTACGTGTGTAAGGAAGCAAATATTTTAAATATTTCCATAGAAAGTTGTAGTCTCATAAAATAGTATTAGGTGCCTACTTAGAAATAAAAAGCATGTTAGATTTGCCTACTTAGAAATAAAAAGAATGTTAAATGCTGGTAGGCATCAACCATCAGACATCACAGACAGATATTTTTTAGTAGTTTACCACTGTACTACAAGAGTAGAAACATCATATTGATGCTGTTAGTTTTAATATATCTTAAAGATTAATTAAAGGCCTTGCTGTTGCAGGTTGTTGAATTACTGAGATACTTCTCCTGGGCTGAACCACAGCTCAAGGCCATAAAGGCCTTACAACATGTAAGTTCTTGTGTCATAATCTTGTGGAATAAATTTGCTCTCTTAATGTCATTTTAATTTTATGACTCCTACTTTTCAACTGATGAGTCAATCTACCTTTTATAAATCTTCAAACTTTCTTCTTCGTCTCCTCCTTCAGAGGTATTAAGCTATGAAATTTCAAACTTCTAATTGGGGTATCTTTTCTGACTAAAGTGACTTTTTCTTTYCTGTGTATCACTGGAATGGATGTAACCTTTGTAACTATTGTTAACTCTCCTA